AAGATGAACAAATTCCTGAACAGACGAAGCTTCCGTAACATAGCAACTACGAAGGGACATACAAGCAATTTTGAGGTTGTTGGCAGCATTGCGTAGTTCCTCACTAAATTTTACAAGTTCAGATTCAGTTACAGTACGATTATACATGGATGAGAATTTTCATTTTTGTAAGGAAAATAGAATGTCTTTATATAATATTTCGAGTCATTTTTCCAGCTTGTTCTATTATTTGTACAAAAGCTTTATTAAGCCTATTATTGCTACTGATCAACCTGTCATTGATGCCCCCATATCGACATAATAAATTGGAATAAAAATCCGTAAATCCTTTATAAAAGGATTTGAGATTTCAATCCTTTGTTTTATTTTCCATTTTTATCTCTTTTTAAATTTAATTTCAAAGATAAAAATGAAATTCACTAGTATATATTAGTATATATGTAGAATTTGTCGAGAGTTCCGTCTTTCAAAAAAGATTCACTCACCCTGAAAATGGTTGAAGTTTATCGAATTTTTATTGCGTGCATGTTTGTTACGGATATACTTCCATATGGAATTCCGTATTAACCGCAGAATTAACTGCGCCATGAGTACATCACACTTGTTAATTCGTAAAATTGGTTTATTTTATATATTTAGAAGTAGTAAATATTTAAATTTTATTAAAAAGACTTGTATGAATTTGTGGTCGAGAGAATTTTTGTACTTGGTCACGCCTTGAGGTAAGACTTAGAAACTTTCAAATATATAAATTTCCTATTCTAACTTTCAATTTTGATTCGTGTCTGGAATGATAGGTCTAACTACATAAGTTGATTGTTAACAAATCTCTCAAAATAGTTTTTGAAAGGTAGCTTAGTTTGTGAGGATACTAGAATGATATCGGATAAATATCTGAAATCTTTTGAATTTCTGAATATTTTCTAGTCTTTCACATTTTGGTACGTTTTTCGGACAATTTATAACATTATTCGGACACATTAAAAAACATTGTTGGTAATGCTTTTCGGAGATCATGTTTCATTGAGTTACGGCTTGATTAATATATAATGCAAATATTATAATTTATGTAAATGACTTAATTAGTGTGAATTTCAATCAATTAACATTACTTGACAGTGATGGCAAATGACCAGGTCATTTGGCCATTTTGATATGACCTAATAATTATTTCGATAGACCTGGTCATTTGGGGTTATTTATCATTTTGGTCATTTAAATGTTTGCTCTAATTCCTTAATTCTCGTTTCTAAGTCTTTCTAAATTGTTTAAACCAATCTATTTTTTGATTTACTTTTTTTTTCTAATTTGATCGTATAGACAAAAAGTAAAGTTCATTTTACTTATAATTATTTTACATAAGAAATTATTAATTTGTATTTTAATTCAATCAGTTACATATTACCTTTTACCCTCCATTTTATCAAATTCAAGCAAAAAATTATTTTTCATTATACTAATAGATATATTATATATATAATAATATATATTTATTTATGATCTCCGTAAAGTCGAAATAAAAAGTAATTGGGTCTGTTGTAACCCAAATACGTTAATGTCCGAAATGCGCATTTTGGATATCGGGACATCAACGCAATACCCACTTTGAAAATTCTCAGATATTATGGATATGATGCAAATGTTTGTTATTTTTTGAAAAGTCTTGTAGAAAAGTAATTCTCTTTTGACGAGTTTGACATTTTACTTATTTCTGATCACGTTCAAATATGCGACTCATTTCTGACAAATATTCGTGCTATTAAAATAAGTACCTTTATACAATAAAATCTGTATTGGGATCGATACATCCAATATGAAAATATAATCATTTCAAATCGTTAATTGTCACTATTCAGTATTATCTTTGCTTTTAAAAATCCAAATATGAGGTCAAATCGATATATAAAAAGTTTATGGTCTGGATAAGTATGTTAAGCTAAACAAGTTAGACCGTGGGTAAGCAAAATATAAAAAAAAAATGCGAGAATTTTAAATTTTTGTGGACACTTTATCGGACGAAAGTTTGCCTAATAAACTGGATTATGTAAACATTATGAAATTAATAGGTTAAGATGAGATACCATATAATCCAAGATGGATCGTGACCATTGTTGTATTCTCGTTTACGTATTAATAAACAATTTGATTTTAAGCAGAAGGAGTTAATTGAATAAAAATGAATAATGACGCTAAATTTATTTAATATTATCAATTTGATCAGTGTTGCCTCAACGTCGGCGCTCTACACTTTCGCTATGTCAAAATATTAAAGCTAGGTAATTAATTAAATTGTGTAAATACGAAACAATTACATAAAAATTGAATAATAAAAAATACTAATAAAATCGGAATTTAAAAAATAAACGAAGTTCCAAATAAGAAACCTAAAAAGTTAAAACGGCAAAAGCGAATATATCGCGGTGTTAAAGGAATGATTTCGAGGTGAATTTATGCAAATTATAATAAGGGAAAGCATGGAATATTAAGCTGTCTAACGATTTCCGGCTTGTATATATATATAAAAAAATAATTAGGCCAGCCTGTTCTGTACGTTATGTCATTCTGGCACCTTGACAACCTGGTACCGTGCCAGCCTGGCAATTGATCTTCAAAGGACTAACTGCAAATATAAAAAGCGATTCTCATGCGGAATTATGGAGATTTCGGGCGGAATTATCTTCAATGTAACACTATCTTAAGCTTTCAATGCGGACAATTCACCAGGTAATTCAAATAATTTTCTCTAACGGACGTGATGTAGGTCGTCGACGATGTCAAATTGTAAAATTAATAAAATACTTTCGACTATGTAAATTAATTCTAATGCTTTTTAAACAAAATAAAAATGAAACCATTTGAATAACCAACTAAATTTTTACCATTCATTAGAGACTGCAAATAAATTGAGATTTTATTTTAAAAAAATAATAAGGATGTTAAATCACTATTTTATTAAAATTTAAAATAATTGACGTATATCGACTAAAATTTCAGAATTCTCATGCACTTCTCTTAATTTTAAATTTAGGACTGACCCAAGTTTCATATTCCTTCTCGTTATTAATATCACCAAACATTTTTAACGCTTTAATTCTAATAAAATAATCTCCATCAGGAGCAGGCGTACCAGGTCCTGTCATATTATCAAGATTAAGTCCATCCCAATGAACTATAAATACTATTGGTTTTTTTCGATATTTAATCCCAGTAAAATATTTAACCCATCCTAAAAACTTATTATTGGCATCAAGTATTTCGGTAATAAGATATGATGTCGGAGTCGCAAGATTAAGTAACACAAATGGATAATCATGTGTACCATCAGTAATATTTAAAAGTTTTAAGGTGAAAGTTGCAATCAGATCTTCTTTGCTGATAACATTACGAATCAAATTAACAAGCATAGGAAATTGAGGTGTCTGAAATAATGGAAGCGATCTTGCATCATCAGCTACCCAGCTACATAAAATCATAAAGTTGACGAGTTACCATTAGAATGTCCAAAATAGCAGATATTGTTTTAACATAAGGAACGGTCATTGTAGGTATGTTCTCATCTACCGGAATTATTTCTAACCATCCACTATAAAACAAATGTAAATCCTTGGGTATTTTCTTTGGTAAAGTAAATGTTACAGAAACCTCAACATTTGATTTAGGCGGCACAGCAATTTGATTATAATCAAATTCAACGCCAGCACATTGTTCTTGTTTTGGAAAATATTCCAAGTTTAAATAATTTCTTACAAAAGTTTTATTATATCCATTAAAACTTGGAGCTGGCAAGTGTGATAATTTATATTCATCTCCTTTCTTTCAACATTATAGATTTTAATGTATGATGCTCATTAAAATGAACTGTATCATTCAAATTAATTTTTGGTGGATAGACAAAGCTGGTTGCTTTCAACAATTTAAAAGCGTCGACGAATCCTGCGCCTTGGATAACTGCCGGAGCTAGTAAATTATTGCGATCTTTATAAGGAACAGCATTATTCATGAATGCCACTTTTAGTTGTTCGTAAAATTGTGGTTTTCCAAATACTTCAATATATAATGCTGCTATGCCGGTTATATATGGTGAAGAAAAATATGTTGCCCTGGTGCGGAAATTTCAGGCTATAGAATTTTTTTATAATTTTTTTTTTTTAAAGAAATAAAACTGACGATGCGACTTATTTTAGAGACATATTACTCACCTTGATATCTAACTCGACACTTAAACCCCAACATGAAAATATCGAAGGAACTACTGAATATGGTTTATATTACATATATCCATACTTATCAGAAAAATCTAATTACAAATTTATATTTTTTTCGAGATATTGAATTAAAATATCGGCTTGACTCGAATCAATCATTGCATGCTCACGTTCGGTAAACCTTCTTCAATAATTTCGGGAAAATTAAAAATCGCCCGAGTGGCTTAAGGGTTTCGTTATTAACTAGAAATAAAAAATTATGAAAATAAAGTTGCTTTTTTTTAAAAAAAAAAATTAAAAATAAAAACAACGTAAGACATACACTAATCATTATATCGATACATGATAAATTTTCTCTAAAGTCTATGATGATTAGTGTATTAATAAATCTTTGTAATCATTTGAACATTTGTTCATTGGAAACAATTTAATATTAGCACTTTGGAACGGAAATTCCAATGCACTTCTTGTAATATAGTCTATATAATTAGCAAAATTTTTAATTCGTATTTCTTTTTTTCTTTATAATGAAATTTGCAAATTGAAATAAAACATACTAATAACAAATTCTGGATTCTTTGAATCAAAGGCTTTGAAATTAACAACTTTATCAGTTCTGAATGAACCGACATTAATTGTATTTTGAATATCCGAGGGCATCAAACTAGTAAATACGCCCAAAATACCATCATTCCCTGCCGCCGATATGAATATTATTCCTTTATATTTAGCCAAATCATTGATCATAATTGCAAGAGGGCCTCTATTGTCACCTTCAGATCTCTTAAATAATTTAATGGTAATATTACTTTATTTATTTATTATTATTATTATTAAAAATGAAGTTTTACTTACAACAGATAAATTTATGATGTCCATTCCATCATCAACCGCCATGATAATAGCTTTCATTACCATATCTAAAAATTCTTGTC